GACAGTCGTCTGCGATCCGCAATCTCTGAACTTTCGCAGCCTCGCCGAAGCGCCTCGATCTGCGAAGGTGACTGGGGCCCGTTCGCGCGAAGGCGCTATCATGAGCGCAGCGCCGAAGGCGAAGGCGAAGGCCAAAGTGCATCCTACGGCGCTGCCCATTCCAGACAGGAGCAGATCTGGCAACGATGCTGAGCAGCCGCCGCAGGAGTCAGGTGATAGCGACGAAGACGAGGACTCCAGCGATGATGCGGTGGTTGACATCCTCGCAGAGGTTAACCCAGAGCAGGCAGCGTTCAAGCTAATCTTCGAGGACACGTGGGCGCTACGCAGGGCAGACAACGAGGAAGCGCAGTGCGCGATCAAGGCAGCCAACGATCAGCACACCATCTTCTGCTGGCCAGACGGGGACACGTACTTAGGGCTGGTGCCGTTCAACAGCGTGAAGTCCCCGCAGAGGAGGAAGGCGCGAGTTGAGGGTTGTCCAATATATGGGTTCGCAGGGGAGCAGGGGAGCACAGTCGGACCACCCATGGGGCTGTCTTGAGGGGCGGGCCGTCTTGGGTGCCTAGTCTTGGAGCCGTCGTGAGGCCTTGGAGGCGTTCTCCATAGCTGAGGCCTTGGAGGCCTGTGGAGCCTCGGAGCCGTCCTGAGGTTTTGGGGCCGTCCTAAGGCCGTAGAGGCCCTGAGCCCTCAATATATCCCCTACACCTCTGCTTCTCTTTTCGCATTCTTTCTCTCTCTCTCTCTCTCACTCTCTCCCTCGCTCCCAATCCACTTATTATTGATTCATCCTTCGTTCTCTCTCTCTCTCTCTCTCTCTCTCTCTCTCTCGCTCTCTCTCTCTCTCTCTCTCTCTTTTTCTCTCCTCTCTCTCTCTCTCTCTGCCTGCTCCCCCCAATTGGTCTTTGCCCCCCCCCCCCCCCACGCGCACACACACGCACACGCGCACGCGCCCTACTGTGCGCTTTCACGAGCTCCTCCGCCACCCTTGGTGTTCTTTCAAGCGATAGGCCTAGGGTAGGCCTATAGGGTAGGGCCTAGGGGTATATAGGCCTAGTGTAGGCCCAGGAGGTCCTTGGGGTAGGCCCTAGACGTTCTTTGGGTAGGGGTCCTAGAGGTCCTTGGGGTAGGGGTCCTAGAGGCCCTAGGGGTAAGCCTAGGGGTCCTTGGGGTAGGCCCTAAAGGTGAGGCCGCAAGGGTAGGCCCAGGGATGTAAGCCTAAGGGTAGGCCGGTAAGCCTACAGGTAGGCCTGTAGGCCCTAGAGGTAGACCTAGGGGGTTCTGGGCTTCCGAAGACCCCTTTCTCTCTCATGTTTGTTGTTTTCTCTCGATCCCACCCCGCCCCCTCAGAGGCCGAGGCCAAGGCCGCCGCCACTAAGAAGGACATTGCGGACGCCAAGGCCAAGCGGGCCGAGGCGAGCAAGGCCAAGGCTGCCGGGAGTAAGGGCACAGGCAAGGGCGACGCCAGCGCCGAGGCGGCGGGCAAGGGCGAGGGCGAGCGCAAGTGTGAGAGGCCCTGCGAGAGCGAGGCGCCGCATAAGAAGGCAAAGAAGGCGGCGGGCCCCAGCGAGGGCGAGGACAACGGAGCCTCAGCGGGCAAGCAGCCAAAGAAATCGATGAAAGGCAAGACGACGGTTGCATCTACTGCACCTGGCGACGAGCTTCCTGGCGATGGGCCACTGGGCGACGAGGGACCTGCTGACGGCGAGGCCCCTGGTGGCGAGACCAGCGCAAGCAGCGCAAGCAAGCCAAAGGGCAAAGGCAAAGGCAAAGCTAAAAGCAAGGCCAAGCCAGCTGCCAAGCCGAAGGACCAGGGCAAGAAGAGCAAAGCCGACGCCGAAGGCCCTGCGGAGGAGGGGGGTGCGATGCCTGAAGAGCCGATGGACGGCGAAGCCCTGGCGACGCCGCCCAGCAAGAAGCTGAAGTTGCAGCACGACAAGACGAGCACTGAGAAGGGCCATGCCGACACGCAGAGCCAGAAAGTGAAGGGGGCCGAGCAAACGCCGCTGCAGGAGTGCCACGCAAGGTGCGCCAGGGAGAAGTGCAGGACGCTGGAGGACATTAACGGCTTGGTCTGGAAGGTAGGCGTCTCGCCCCGCCCGAAGCTGAACTACGGCTGGGAAGTGTTCGTGAGGACTGCTGGACCCATCGTATTCGACCAGCGTTTCTGCGGACCGACGCGCTCTCGAGCAGAGCGTCGGGCCACGCAGGAACGCTGAGCGAAATGATGGATCCTCGATCCATGGAGGAACAACACCGGGCAGAAGTGGTCGATCCTGTCCTCGAGCAAAGTCCTGCCAGCCGACGGCACGCTCGAAGCAGTGATACAGTACGCAGGCAACACCAAGCTCGTGGATATCATGAAGGAAGCTGGCGTCTACGACGAGACTAAGGATGACGTGAAGAAGCAGGACCTCGAAGGCCTGGACGATTGGAAGGACAGCTCGGAGGACGCTTCCAAGAAGCACAACAAGAGCACAGGCAGCAGCAGTGGCGACTCACGCACACCTGGCACGTGGACCATGGACAATCCAGAGCCAGCAGGTGACAGCTGCGGGGCAGAAGGACCAACAGATGAGCCAGCAGGTGGCAGCCGCGGGGCAGGACCACAAGATGAGCCGCCACAAGATGGGCCAGCAGAGGAAGACGACAAGGAAGGGCCGAAGGGCAACACCGGCAGCGAGGGCGAGCTTGCGGGCAAGGGCAACGACGGCAGCGAGGGCGAGCTTGCGGGCAACGGCAACGACGGCAGCGAGGACGAGGAGACAATCCCTGGCGACCCGGGTGACCAGGAGGAGCGCAAGGACACGGTCTCTTGGGACATCATCATCGAGGACTGATAGGACAGCGCTGTCTCCTGCTTCTCCTCCTTCGCCTCCGCCTGCCCCACCTCCACCTTCGCCCCCTCCACCTCATTTACCACTCCCTTAACTTCCATGTTCACATATGATGATCACCCTTCTAGCTCCGCCGCCTCCTCCGCTCCTCCTAGCTCCTCCTCCTTCTCCTCCTCCTCCTCCTGCTCCTCCTCCTCCTGCTCTTCCTCCTCCTCTTCCTCCTCTTTCTCCTTGCGTGCCCTGGCCGGTGTCCATGGCTTCTCGTCCTCTATGCTTTGGGCCCCGATCTCATCTCTCGATGGCTTCGCCGCCCTGACTGGCCGCCAAAGGCGGGGCGGGGCGAAGCCCTTGAGAGAGAGGGCATGCGCCTGAGAGCTGGGAGAAGGGGGGCCCATAGAAGGCAGGCAATATTGGAGAGGAGCAAATAAGGAGGAGAAGTAGGAGGAGGGGGAGGAGAAGGAGCAACGCAAGATCTGGCGCGGCAGATGTCACGAGGCGCGGGCTGACAGGAGGAGGATGAGGAGGAGGATGAGGAGGAGAAGCAGCGAAGCAGCAGCAGGACGACGCCGATGAGGAACAAGAGGACGGAGGAAGGAGGGAAAGGAGGACGAGGATGAGGAGCTATAGGAAGAGTCCTCTCCCTTCGCACTCGATGCCTGCAGACGCAGGCGGTCGCGCTGCTATCAGTCAGCGGTCCGCTCGCGAAGAGCTACTTCAGTAGCTGTAGGGGTTTAATATTCGAGGGAGCGACCTGGGGTCTCGACGTACTACGACCCCAGGTCTGCAAGATGCAGCCCTCGAATCTCGCCCGTTTCAAGGGCACTGGTGCGCTCGATGGGGCCGCGCTCGCTGGAAACAGCAACCCCTTCTACCGCTCATTGAACCTGGCCTCGTCCTTGCTGTCAGCATCCCGCACGTCCCACTCCCCATCCTCGATTTTGATTCCTGATGAGGTTCGGCGCAGAGCAGATTTCAGATACCTCGCAGCTTCTCCACGACATCACTGTTGTGCTCATCCTCTTCGTCGTTATCCTCCACCTGCTCTTCCTTATCCTTTTCCTCCTCATCATCTTTCTCTTCTCCTGGCTCCTCCTAGCTCCTCCTCGTCCTAGCCCCCCCCTGTACTCCCCTGCCCTGCCTAAGGGCCTACGGTCAATCGGCCATTATCTTGTCCCCTGCCCTGCCTTGCCTGCCCTGCCCGGCCTAAGGCCCCCCTGCCCTGCCTGCCTACCTATACTCCCCCCCCCTGCCCTGCCTAAGGACCTCACCTGCCCTGCCGAAGGGCCTCGCCTAAGGGCCTGCCCCCCCTCGTAAGTTATCGGTGTCGATTGGTGCCCCCGGGCCCCAGGTGATAGATGTCTCTTGGTGTCCTTTGATGTCCCCAGGTGTCCCTCGATGTCCACGGAAGTGGCCCAGCGTCCTCGAATGCCCTGATGGCCCCTCGATGCCGGTCCTCGGATGTCCCTGATGGTCCTTGGATGTCGGTCCCTGGATGTCTCTGGCCCTGCTTTTCGGTCCTTTGGATGTCGGTCCCTGGCTGTCTCTGGCCCTTGGATGTCGGCCCCTGAATGGCCCTGGGTGTCCTTCGGTGGCGAGGGGGAGGAGGAGGGGGAGAAGGAGGAGGAGGAGGAGCGGAAGGAGGAGCTAGGAGGAGCTAGGAGGGGGAGGAGGAGGAGGAGGAGGAGGATAGGAGGAGGAGGAGGAGGAGGAGGAGGAGGAGGAGGAGGAGGAGGAGGAGGAGAGAGGAGAGGAGTGCACGTCCCCGACCGCCACCCCCCCTTCGCCTGTGAGGGGCCGAGGCCCAAGGGGCGAGGCCCTGCCGGGCGCGCTCGGCCTCTTGCCCCTGGCGCTGAGGGCGCTGCAGACGATCGCGGTTTGCAGGACCGCCCGCCTTGTTGATTTCTCGCAAGCAGGGAGGGGCCCAGCTCTTATGAGGAATCTCTAGTGGTTTATAGGCCTGGGTCTCTTATCTCAGCTATCATATTCATAACTTCAGTCTTGTAGGGCAAATTGGGGGAATAGATAGAAGGAGGAGGCGACAGATAACCAAGTGGGGGAGGAGCAAGGAGGAGCTAGAAGGAGAATTAGGAAAAAGTCAGGATTCGTGGGGAAGAACTAGAAGACGCAACAAAATGATGCCAACCTGGACTCGGAGCTGGCCTCCTTGGCGGCATCCATGTCACTCGCTAGGGCGTCCCCTAAATCGGGGTTGGCTACCGCGGTCACCTTCTGATCTCTCGCGAGCGCCCGCCCGCCTGCCGCGGCGTCGGCTGCGCGTGCCCATCGGCCGTTGATAGTAGACCAAGCGCCTTCCTACTTCAAGGATCGAGTGGCCTCACCTTCTCCGTCCTCCCAATTTGGGCGGACGGAGCCCAATCTGCTTTCAGCGCCTTCCTGCTTCATGTTTCTACCTACGTCTTCCGACCGAGTGGTAAGTGAGAGTGACCCTTCGCTGGAGTGAGGAGGAGGAGGATGAGGAGGAGGAGGAGGAGGAGGAGGAGGAGGAGGAGTGGAAGCGTGCACTCAAACTGCTGGTCGCTGTCTGCGTCTGGCTGCTCGTGGGCGCCATCGTCAGCGGGGTCGCTGTCGCTGCGGCTGTAGCGGCCATCCCATTGAGCATGGTCAAAGGTGACATACCCGTCGCCTGGCGCGGAGGGGTTGCTTCGCAGGTCGTAGCACTCGATCTCTGGCCTTGCCATCTGCGGCGCGTGATTGGACTCGTTGCTGTCCGCTTCGAACTGATGAGATCCTACGCCCATGCGCACCGTCCACAACGGCACTACATCATCTCGCTGCGACATGCGATAATTATAGTCTGCATCTAGCCGAGCAGCTTTCTTAAGCGGCTCCATCTGCGGCTAAAGGATCTAGATGCCCTGCATCTAAACGCGAACATGCAAGCGCGCTCCGATCATCGCCCATGCTAGTTTTTGAGGCCATTGTTGCTTCTACGCTTTACGCCGTAAGCACTTTTGTTTCACGACTGCTCCCCAGCATCGCTGGCGCCTACAGGACCCAGAGCGCAGTGAACGGCACGGAGGACTTGCACGTGAGTGCGTCTGGATTCGTGCTTGGGAGACGCGCAAGAAAAAATGTTGCAGGGCCAGATAGTGCCCAGAGAGACCCCAGAGAGGCCCAGAGAGGCCCCAGAGAGGCCCAGAGTGGGCCAGAGAGGCCCAGGGAGGCCCCAAAGAAGCCAGAGAGGCCCAGAGAGGCCCCAGAGGCGGCCCAGAGAGGGCCAGAGAGGCGCAGCCAGGAGGAGGAGGAAGAGATGGGAGGAGGAGGATAGAGGATAGGGAGGAGGAGGAGGAGAAAATGGGAGGAGGAGGAGCAGAAGGAGGATGAGGAGCAGGAGGTACAGGGGCAAACTAGGGGGACTATAGCAGGGGGACGCAAATAAAGGAGGGCTGCATAGGAGGAACTATAGGAGGAGACGATGGAAGACGAGGAGGATGAGGAGACGGAGGGGCAGAAGAAAGATGCAAACCATTCGCCTCTCCCTCACGTCCCCTCTCGCCCCGGCAGGCCGCTATGGCGAGCACAGCGTAGTTGGCCTTGAAGGGGCTCACCTGGACAAGGCTGGCTTTCGCTGCCGCGCATTCTGCTCTGCCCGCCTCAGTCTCATACCGCCCATTTGTCCTCCTTCACCGCTATCCTTCCATATGCCCCCTCAAACTCTCTCTTCGCCTTGGCCCTTCCTATTTACTCCCCCCTCTGCGCCGCTCCTGACTTCGCGTCCCTCTTCCTTTACTGCGTAGTCTGCCTCCTAATATGCCCTTCTCCGCCCCTCCTTATCTTCTCCATCCCTCGCCCCCCCTGCGCCCGTCGTCTTTGGTGATCCAGCGGGGGGGGGGGGAGGATAAGACGCGATCTTGATACCTAGTGGCCTGCGGTCCATCCGCCCACTGCGCCCAGGTGGTTGCTCAGATGCCCCTCGGGCGTTTGTTGCGATCTCGTGGTATGGACCTCCTGTGGATAGCTTGAGAGCTTCTGAGTGACTCGTTAGGCCTCTTAAAGCCTTCTTAGGGCCTCCTGGGCACCTCTTGGAGCGGAAAGCAGAGCGTTCGGTGTAGGGCCATATTGGGGCGTTCTCACCTCTCTTGGGCGTCTCTTTGGGTTCTCTTGGGGCCCTGCTTCTTTGGCTATCTTGGCGCGGTACTGGGCTTGCGTGGAATGTCGGAAGCCTACAACCTAAAATATCAAATCTGATCGAACAAATTGTGTCTGGGGCCATTCTTGCGCGTGTTTGAGCTCTCTTGGGACATCCTTGTGATGCATTCGAATCCGCGCTCGTTTACGTTGAGATGCACCCCTGTGCGCCTCTTGGCACGGAGTGGTCTTGTGCTGTCGTTGGCTTACCTATAATCCTGCGAGCCTCCGCCCTCAGCCCTGACGAATTTGCAAGGCGCCCTGACAGCTTGTAGATAAAACAATCATTCTATTTCCCCTTGTGCCTCTGATCAGGCCTGATTCCGAAGCGCTCAGTGTCCATTCCTGTACTTATATTGATAATGTATGTATGTGATATCCACCCATAGCTGCCTGCGCGCACTCCCCGCAAGACACGCCGGGGGGCTTCGCCAAATACATGCCGATTGGCGATTTAGAAAAAGGCAACGTATTCTGAGGCGTCAGTGAACGTCATTTGGAATGCCTCTAGAAGGTTCCAGTCTATCCATATGTCCCAGATGTCCCTGGGTGTCTTTGGATGTCCGCAGATGTCCTTGAATGTCCTCGGATGTCTCTTGATGTTCATGGATGTCGCCACTTGTCCCCATATGTCCTTAGATGTCCTTGGGTGTCCCTGGGTGTCCTCGGATGTCTCCAGGTGTCCCTCCATGTCCCTCGCTGTCCCTAAATGTCCTCTAGTGTCCCCAGATGTCCCTCTGTGTCCCTCGCTGTCCCTAAATGTCCTCTGGTGTCCCCAGGTGTCCCTCTGTGTCCCCCGCTGTCCCTAAATGTCCCTGGATGTCCCCAGGTGTCCCTCTATGTCCCTCTGTGTC